TGTGCGCCTCGGCTGCTCCCGCACTGAAGTCAGTGCTGGTGTTTTCAGGTTGTTCAGACCTGAAATCTAAGGGAAAAAAGCTCAGCGTCTGCGTCGCTGCTCCTGCCGCTCGCTGGTGGTGGTAGCGGTGAAGAGGAGAGAGGGTTGGTTTTGTTTTGTTGTTTTTTTTTCTTTTTTCTTTTATTCAATGGATCTGAACTTGGAGTCTTTGGACCTCGGTGGTTTTGGAATATCTACGTGCTGATCCTCTTTGTTGTGGCATATCAGTTCGTTTGGGGAAACCATCCGAAGGCAGCAAGATGTTTCTCGCTATCTTGTACTTCGCTTTGCCCTTAGTGGGTAAGTTGCTGGCATCTGATTTCTGTCTGTACATTGCTTCATAAAGCAAGGCATAGGGTTTGTGGGATAGGATGCCTGACACTTGTCAGTTTATTGTTTAGGCAGAACAGTGAAGTTTCCAGTAGTTTTTACGGCTCTGCCTCAGATCAGTTATCCCAGTCTACATTTAAAAAGCTCTGGGAGATTACAGACTTGGATACTTGCCTATGTAGCCTCTTGTTAAATTGGGTTCTCGCAAGTTACAGGGAAACTTTTTGTTTTAATAAAATAAGGCTGCTTGGGGAGGATGGGGGGGTGACAGGAGCCAGCTGAAGGATTACATCTTCACCTGAGTCTGGCAGCCTGCCCGACTGTGAGTGGTTTGCAGCCCAAACTGGTTTCTTTTCCATTGGAGATGTTTGCGTTTCCATCTGTGTGCGTCTGAGGGAGCGTGACAGGGGGGCATGATGGAGAGGAGAGAGTTAATGTAGTTTGCTTTGTTCTCCTGCAAAAGCATCATACGGAGAGAAATGGAGAGGGGGGAGTCATAAATTCTACGTTTAAGATACATGTAGAATAAGCAAAAGTGAGTATAGCCTTTGAAAAGTGACTGACGCAAAAGAGAGGCTAATATCAATCACTGAGGATACTTATCTCTCTGAGCGGGTTGTTCGTGGATGTAATTGAAATTACAGCAAAGCTCTTGTGGAAAGTGAGGCCGAGTATTTAACCCCTCAATTAAACACTCTAATGGGAAGGTTATTTGTTTCAACAAAGTGGATCTAAAGAATAGTGAAAGCTTGTTTTCTCAGGCACATTAACCCCTGTGGGTTTTCTTTCCTTTTTTTTGTGTTTTCTCGTAAATCAACCAACAGTGTTAAAACATACCGTTTCCTTGGACTCTCACAAAAGCGGATCTGAGACCGTGAAAACCCCATGTGCTTTTTCCTAAGGTGTAGCATGAAGCCTGGAGGTTTTGCAAGGTGCTGCCCATGGGGCTGGCTGTGCACGTGCTATGTGAGGAGAGGTGCCTTGTGCTTCCCCGCTGCCTGCTTTGGAGCCCGGGTTAAATCAGCCTCATCCCTCAACGAGAGTTTGTTGGTTTGTGTCTCCCCTTTCTAGATGTACTTTTGTCGGCAGAAGTCAGTGGGCTGCCTGGAGGTGACCGCTTGGATTGCGTGAAAGCCAGCGATCAGTGTCTCAAGGAGCAGAGCTGTAGTACTAAATTCAGGACACTGAGGCAGTGTGTAGCCGGCAAAGAGAGCAACTTCAGCCGGGCGACGGGCCTGGAGGCAAAGGACGAATGCAAAAGCGCCATGGAAGCTCTCAAGCAGAAATCTCTCTACAACTGCCGCTGTAAGAGGGGCATGAAGAAGGAGAAAAACTGCCTACGCATTTATTGGAGCATGTACCAGAGTTTACAGGGTACGTTGCAAAGCACAGAAATGTTTTGTTCCCCTAATGCAGCGTGTGATTTCGCAGCCCCTCACATCCACAGCTAGCTACTGCCACTGAGGCTAAAACTGAGGGTCTGACCCCGTAATTCACATTGTGCTCTTCAGCTGCAGACTGAGGACCTTTCATCTGACTCAAGAACAGCTGCTGCTCCGTCTCCTGTTGTTGGGAAATCCCCAATGAGGGTTTCCTTCAGGGGACCCAGCTGACCTTTCTAAACCAGAGCCAAAAGATAAGGGCACTAGAAAGTGCAAAAGCTACAAAAACAATCATTTGGAGACATTTTACCTAGTAATATTTAAGCTTCTTAAGTAGGGCTCACCTTAGAATATCACAGGACACTGGGATTAGTTTCTTAGCTCTTTCCTGAAAGTTAAATGTAATATGAAGAAGAGCATTCTTTTAAGGGAATGTTTATTCTTTCCTTTCCTGTATTTACTAGCAACGTTCCCTGGGCATGCTGAGGCAGGAAAAAAAAATTTGTTTGTGCTTCCTAAAGCATGTAGAAGTGCCAGTTAGAAGGGATATGACAGTGATTGACTCGGGACTTCTGTTCTTGATGTCACTGGCAGATTTCCCATCGTCTACTGAGAACAGTCAGGTCCTTATATGAGATGTCTCACTTTTAGCACTGTTTTGGTTTGGCCCTGGAGCTGAAGATGCAATCTTTCACTTCTGTGTGGTCCCCATTTAATCCTTTTCTGTAGCTGCTTCTGCAAAAAGGGAAGTAATCCCTGTCTGTTCATTTATCCAAGCATCAACTGGAATGTTTTAATGAGTATATATTTTTTATATTTTGAGTATATATTCTGGCTTTTGTAATAAATTACACTACTCTTGGACTGCATCATAAAGTTTCCCTTCTGACAGCATCTTGTTAGGAGTGTTTTATTCCAAAGATGCTAGGTTTTGGCTATTACCTGGGCTGCTCCTCTGAAAAAAAAAGCTCTGCTGTTAGGATGAATGAAGAGGAGCATCCTTGCTGCAGCTTCTCTCCTGCTGTAAACAACAGAGTATTATCCTGAATTCTTGTATTAAAAAAAAAAAAATTCAAATATTTTTTGTCTTTAGGAAATGACTTGCTTGAAGATTCCCCTTATGAACCAGTTAACAGCAGACTATCAGACATATTCAGGCTAGCACCAATTGTATCAGGTAAGGAGACTTAAAATTACAACCTGCTGCTTTGTAGTTGAACTATGGAACTTTCAAGCAATACTCTCTTAAATAAAAAGAAATGTTTATGGCTTTCTAGATTTAGGAGGTTCATGATATAGTTGCACAAAAGAAAATACTAATTGGCTTTGAAATAATAACTAAACCTGAAAGAATGCTTGGCAGGATGGCAATTTGTATTCTTTTTGAGTCATTCTTGACAATAAATGCTAAATTTTCCTATAGGTGGCAATCTGATTCCCTGTGTTCCTAATCTACAAAGTAGTTCCTTTTGGGAACGTGGTCAGTGCCAGTTACCTCCCATAGACATTAAAGAAGATCAGAAGATAAATCTTTCAAAAGTTTGCATAAGGGAATGCTTTACGGTTTCGTACATTTTTGTTGAAAAAAAAAATTTCAGAATTAGGGCATGTCTTCTTTTCTGGAACTGCTGCCTGTTTAAAGAGCCTGTTCACAATTTCCTTTTTTTTATAGTTTTCCTCTGAACATTTTTTTGATGATGTATGTCTGTCTTTCAGAACTTGCTTGCAGTAATTTGAATACATTTCTCAGTAATTAAATGATGCTGTTTGTTTACCAGCTTAAGTTACACTCATTTTGCATTATATTTATTGAAGCAATGAATTTTGGGCATTGACGGGGGTTATGGGTTGGAATTAATTTCATTTTTCTGAGTTTCAGAAAGTCTTATAAGGATGCAGTCTGTACTCAGGACCTTTTTTTGTTTAGTTACATAAAAATTGAATGTGCACAGTATAATGTGTAAGACTGACAGTGTTGAAGCTGTAGTTAACTGAGATGCTACAGATAAGCATTAGTAGATTGCTCTTTAAAAGAAAGAAGGAAAGACCAGAGGGAGTGCCTTGACCAATTTTCAGAAGTACTTGCACTTTTTAGGACCCTAAGTCTCATTAAAAGCCAGGGGGACTTATGTTGTTAAGTATATAATGGTACAGGTTTTCAAAAGCATATAGACACATAAAATGTAGATAACTGCCCATTGGGATTTTCAGAAAGGACTAAGTGATTTAAATAGGTATTAGATGCCCAGGCAGTTTTAAAAATCCTAAGTGCTTAATGCATCTTCAGGTGTCTTAATGCCTTTGAAAATCAGCCTTTTAGTCACTTTTCAAGGTGTGACTTGAGATCCAAATCACGTACATCTTTTGAAAGCATTACCCTAGTTTGGTGAATAAGTGTGTTGGAGAAATAGTAGAGAACAAAGATTAATTTCTGAAAATTCCTTATTTTATGTTTTATTCCTTAAAGTCCCCAACTTAATACAAAACCAAGACAAAATCAATACAGAGGAATTCCAGGCTGTTTTCCTAAAGTTTATGGTCAACCTGCTGAGGGCCAAATTCTAACCTACCTCAGCGGTTTTATGGTCTCCACAGAAATATCCTACGTACACTCTGCCTTTCTGTTATTTTTTAGACTTCCCATTTACTTGCAAAGTAATTATCTTCAAAATGTAATATTTTTTTCCTACCTGTTCTGTGCAACAATGAAGTAAGATGTAGTTGCCAACAAGTAACGTCTGTCCTACTACAGTCACTTAAGATGCTTGTGGACTGGTTAGGACTCATTCTGTGTTGCTAGTGCTCCCCAAATTGCTGTTCACTTTGTCAGAAATTTTAGGTTTACAAGGATTGGAGGCCTAGATTCACAGGGAGCAAGAAACAAAAGTTGTGATACAGTGGAAAAACACCAGTATTTGGAAGCATTGTCATCAGAAAAAGATTAGCAAAAGCATTTTTCTTATTGTCATGGTTACTACTGCATGTTACATTCTTTGAAGCTGCCTAGTCTTACAGATTTTTTTGCAAGGCTCTGCAAATACCCAAACAGCAGAACTGGGTAAGATTTTTATATCTTGATTAAAACAACAAAAAAACCCCCCTGTACAAACAGTGTTGGCTGGGGTTTCATAACTGGTGTTCTGCTAATGTGGTCAAACAACAGTTTTTATGGTACATAAAAGGGGAAAAACATTGTCTAAAATGACTGTTTTGTGTGTTACATAAGCCTTTTGTAGGATACGTAGTCTAAGAAATTGAGGACAGTTTTTAAAAGCACTTAAAGTTGATCAAATTCTATATTGAAAGATGTTCAAAATTGTATCCTCTATGGAAACAGGATGCCACTTTTTCAGTAATCATTCAAGCATCAATATAATGATTTGAAATAAACATCAGAAATATATTTCTAGACCTGTGGCTAGGTTTTGTAGTTTCTCTGTAGTTCCCGTTATGCTACTGGAACAAGTGATGCAGTTGTGTTACTAAAGTGAAGCTTAGCTTCATATTTTTAAGTGGTCTACGTTATCCTGGGACTGGTGATGTAGTTAGTCTAGAACTAGAAGGACAAGCTAAGTATTACATATAAAATTTAAAACAATGTCCAACAACACAGAAATTAAAAATCTAAACCCACAAAATTGTTTGTCTTGGTACTAGCTGTTAAGCCCAGGGTATCATATATTTAGATAACCAACAAGTGTGAATTTTGCATTTGAATCACTACTAAATTTGCGAGGAAAGTGTAATTTATAAAAAAAATAATTGATGGCTAAAATAGGAATGTGAGTTCAGTGTTTGATTTACTTATGGTGACGCATGCTGAGTATTCATCGGTCTGATCTTCCTTCCTTTCCATCTACACTTTAAGTTCATAATTCATCTCCTTCTATAAAGGTAGTCCTCTGACACCTCACCTGGCCAAATCCAGGACTCAGAGTCTTTCCAGTTGAAGGACAGGGCTGTCTCTTTTTTTTTTTTTTTTTTTTTTTTTTTTGTTTTGGGCATGTCTAGATCTGAATTTTCTTTAGAACTACTATGTCTGATGTGGTGCTTCTGCCTCAAGGGTGTGAATTTCTTGCTAGTAGGCAGCACTTCAAATTACTGAGAACTTGTGTGTGTGTTTTAGAGAGTATCAGATTTAGTTTAGCTATTGCAATGTAGAGATTTTGCTTAAACAGACATTTTTGCTTAAACCTTAACAACTTCTGAGAGGCGAAACATTGTAAGGCCATTGACTTCTGTCACAACTACAGTAAATGCAAAATCTGTTGATTGGATTTCAGAGGTAAGTTTCACACCAAATTAAGGATAGATGCCTGAATTAGTCACTTGTTAAAGCAATCTACAGCTTTTTAATACCTGGGGAACAGATTGCCTCTTGAATTTGTATTGTATTTGACACTGAGCCTTGCCACTGGAAGGCATCTTATTGTTTTGGTATCAACTGATACAGTATGGTGGTCATCTCTGTGGCATGTTGTAAGAAAATATCCTGCTTGGAAACTGTAGCTTCATGTACCTGTAGAAATACTTCAAAAAGAAACGTTTCTGAAATGTCCATTCATTTCAACACAAAATGGAGAGCCACTAAAGCTGAGTAGAATGCCTTAAGCCATATCTGTGAAGTGGTGTAAATAGAATACTTAATATTAAAATGAATTGACTATTTAGATCAACGTATTCAGGATGACATAATGCTCTCCTCCTCTGGATTAACTTTTAAATTGCCTGGTTAATTACACCTTATTATGCCATTGTTCAGCTTTGTGCATCTTTTCTTCTTTCTTTTACATCTATTATGTTCAGAAATAATCTTAGAGAGAGGCTACGTAAATTGGAATATTTCTTAAAACATGTAGGTTTTGCTGGTAATCTGGGGAGAACTGGTCAGTTACGTACTACTAGTTATGTTTTGTTTCTAGTTGCTAAAATGCAAGACAGGTAGAAATTAATTATTTTGCTGATATTTGTTTTTAGTGTAGTAAACTGTTTTTGCAAAGTGCCTTTTGTGTCATTAGCAAATGAGAGAAAGAAACTGGCTCATATCACTATATGTCAAAAGGAGTGTTTCCTGATTATTCTGCCCTCATTAGAGGCTGTTTACTCTCTAAAAACTCTGAGAATCTTCTGTTGCAGAAGGTATCTGGAAGCTTAGATTTAGAAAAGGGTGTATTTTGTATTTATTATGGTAAATTTGTTAATTAAAACCCAGAGTTCAGTAGACAGCACACCACCTAGGCTTCTTACTGGGGTGTAGCAATCCACGTTAGAACATGGGTACCAGAGCACGTGGAGTTAGCATGTTTGACTGCCATACTGAACAAGCTATAAGTCCAAATGCAAATCATTGTGGTGGGTAAGATGGCCTGTTATTGTATTTAAAAAGTTGAGACTATAAAAAGTTAGCGTTTCTGGAAGTCTCAGAAGGGAGTGTGTGCTGGTGGCATTTAAATTAGGCAGTCATGTATGCTCCTGTAGGATTTCATGAAGACGGGTGTGGGTCTCCCTCTAGTATCTCTACATTGTTTAGAAGGAGAGTGGATTAGTTAGTCTTACCATTGGCATTCACAGATCAGAAAGTTGATGCTGGGACAGAATGAAGTCTAGTACGCAAAACAATTCCTTCAATATTTGACACCAGAGGAAACTTCCCTCTCCACAGCATAAAACCTGCTCTGAGTATTGATGACAGCTATCTGGCCCCTCCCCATTATTTTATCCTTCCCAGGGATGGTGTAGAAACATCACAGAGAATGGACTGCATGTGTTTCCTTTGGAAAAGTTGCTCTCGGCAAAGACGGGGGAGAAAGGTTGGGGTTTTCAATATGAATTCTCAGGATCCAGAGAAACAGATCTTCCTTGTCTGGGTGCTTAAGGTCCTTTAGGACTCCTCATACCTTCTCTTTCTGCTGCTTGTGTAAATAGGGGCTGTAACACTAGAAAACACTGTGTCATAGTGAATTAACTTTGCCCAAACTTTAATAACCCCAAAATTCTTTTAATCAAGAATTGAATGTTTCCCATTAGCCTTTGTAATTCTTGAACTAATGTAAGAGCTGTGTTCTGGGTAGTAAGTCCGTAACACTTCAATTATAATTTGCTTCTTTTTTTCCTACCAGGAAAATAACTTTTGTTTTGTGGAATCTATATATACTATTTTTTAAATTGTTTATCAAA